CCTACCCCCCCTACCCCCCACCCAGGTAGTATTCCGTCTTTGATTGCTGGTCTCTTTGTTGGACTTTTGGCTGGCTATGGAGCTTACCGTGTCTCCAATGACAAGCGAGATGTGAAAGTGTCTCTGTGTAAGTAAGACATTTTCCAGGTATGGAGCATCGAACCTGGGGGGTAGCTGATATGATGCTTCTAAATGTAATATTATTGCTTAGTGTGTTGGAATGGTACAAAACAAAAAATTCGGCCTTCTTCTAAATACTAAAATAGTATTATTTTATTAATCAGGTCTTACTTTAAAAAATATATAATTATTTTCCTTACATTCGGTTACCTAAACATTTGTTGGGTGTCTCCGGTGGGTGGGAGTATTCTGCCCAGAGTTCCTGAGGAAAGTTGAATAAGCCAGCAGTCCTAGTCTTCAAGGAGTATTCTGTAAATAGACATTTAAGTTAGAAAAAGACTTCCTTTTAAAGGTGTTTCAAGAATGGATTTTAACATGCTTGTTTACTCAAACCTTTTTAATGAGCTAGTTAAGTGTTTTAATAGAGCTTTTCATCTTTTGAAGAAAATAGCAACTCAATACCTATGCATAATAGTTGTTATATTAGGAAGCTTAAATGATATCCCTTTTTTTCACAAGCAGGCATTGGTGAGGTGTTTGCAACTCTGATGCATGTATTGGTTTGTTTTTTAGTTGCAGCTTTCTTTCTGGCCACCATAATGGGTGTGCGGTTTAAGAGATCCAAGAAAATAATCCCAGCTGGGCTGGTGGCAGGCTTAAGGTAAGAAAAACTATTTTAATGTACATTTTCCTCTGCACCTCATTTTGAAATGCTGAATTTGGGGCAAAAGTCATTGTTAACTTGAAACATCAAAGTAATTTTTTTTGCAATAAGCATGACTGTGAACCCTTAAAATATGCCTGCAGTCAGTCTTTGGGATGGATGTGCACAGGAACATTTATATTGAATATACTTAGTGTTGCTGTAGTATTTGATCACATGTACACTTTACCATTTTCAAAATAAAGAATTCAATTAAGTCTCATTTTTTCTCAAGATTTACCCATGTGAGGCAGTATTTTGAGTTTTTAAGGGAGAAAACAATTTTTTTTCCCAATAGATCAGTAGGGAGCTTCAAATTTCTCTTCATTTGATCCCGGTAATTCTATCCATGAGATTAAGCATGTTGCCAAGTAAAAATTTATAGTTATATTTTTTTTGAAAGAGGGGCATAGCACTGCTGTTTCTATCCAGCTCAATGTAACTTTTTAAAAATGTGTTTTTATTGATTTCAGAGAGAGGAAGGGAGAGGGAGAGAGATAGAACTATCAATGATGAGAGAAAATCATCGATCAGTTGCCTCCTGCATGCCGTCTACTGGGGAACAAGCCTGAAACCCGGGCATGTGCCCTGACTGGGAATCGAACTGTGACATCCTGGTTCATAAGTTGACACTCAACCCCTGAACTATACTGGCTGGGCATATAGGTTATATTTTTAATACTTCCTGAAACCTGCCTTAATATATTGAAAGCCATAAAACATGTTCATTTCCTTTGATACACATTTTTGCCTTTTGAAATTTTTTTCTGAAGAAATAATGAGATGTATATAATGTCTGGTGTTTATTGCGACTTTATTCCTAACGCAAAACATGATAAACTGAAAAATTAGAAACAACTTAAAAATTCACCAGTAAGGAAATGTTTCAGTAAATGTTCGTCCCCTTAATGGAATACTGAGCAGGCTTTACATGTCATGTTTTAAAAAACTATTTAGTGGCATTGGAAAAATCTTAATAACATAAGGAGAGATTATTTAAATGGATAAAAAAAAAAACAAATATACTGTGATCTCAATTTTTAAAAGTTTGTATATGAAAAACCAAGATCAGAAGGGAAATCTCTCAAACTGTTAGAGTTTGTCTCTGGGTGGCAGCATAATGAGTAATTTTCTCCTGCTCTGTAGAATTTTCTAGTGTGGCTGTGTTTATGATTTGGGGAGGAAAAGTGTGATTACAAAGACTGCTTTCCAGTTTGAGGCCTGTCTAAAAATGATACTTGGTGGTGGAAAGAATCAGAAGTAGGGTTTACGGGTCAAGAAGACAAGACCCCAAAGATATGAAATGCCTGCTGCTACCACCCTTTTAAATTGCTGTCTTTTGAAAACCACCAGAATGTGTCTTAGGTTGATGTCCCTATTTTAGGGAAATGACTGTCAGTAGTTTCAGTTATGATGGTAAAAAGAAAACTTGTGTATTAAAAGAAAAAAGACAAGACCCCAATCAATGAAAAGTAGCTGAGATGGCAATTACTCCTCAGAATTGTTCCTTGATTATTTTTTTCAACTTGCTTAACTTTACAAGCTTTTGAAAGGTGTGTGTTTCTTTAGAAACCTTTCTCTCATAAAGCTTTATCCCAGATCTTTAGAACAGCGAGTTCTGATTTTTCTCATTCATTGAGTGAACATGTTTAAGTGGCTAATTCAGGCACGTCTGGGAAGTTCGAATGCAGGGATAATGAGGTCACCCCTGCTCCCACGGTAGGAGTCTGGGAGAAGCCTGGGAGCCAGGGTTGAGTTACACCACAGTTAGGGGAGCATGCGGCCCTTTCTGTCTCAGCCGTGTAAGAGCCACCCTTCCTTTGCCTTTCTTCTCATCCAGTCTCATGATGATTCTAAGACTTGTCTTACTGCTGCTCTGAGAATCCGGAGGAACTGAAAGCTGAATTGACGTCATTCTACACTAACGGGCAGAACACACTCTTGGAACTCAGAAGATAAATTTCAGTATGGAATGTTAAGTGTCTTATTTAATACTAGAAACAAAAGAAATACTGTCACCTCTTATATGAACACTAGTCTGAGGTGTTGTTTGTTTTGTTTTTGAACAAAACTTTGTTTTCTAATTGTCAGGTACTGTTTTCATTAAAGGTATTTAATAGCCTTGCCAGAGTGACTCAGTTGTTTGAGCATCTTCCCATGCACCAAAAGGTTGTGGATCCAAGTCCTGGTCAGGGTACATACCTGGGTTTCGGGTTTGATCCCTGGTCAGGGAGTGTATGGAAGGCAACTGATCAATGTTTCTCTCTCACATCTATGTTTCGCTCTCTCTCTCCCTCTCTCACTTTCCCTCTCTTAGCATGTCCTTGGGTGAAGATTAAAAAAAACATATTTAATAAATTGTAATATACCTTTTCATTTGCTATGTCTAGTTTTATGTATGTGGTATTTCTTGACAATTCTAAATACTCATCTGAAGTGAATTTAAATGAAACTGCAGCGTATCAGATGACGGAATGCCCTAAGTCAGTGGTCCGCAAACTCATTAGTCAACAGAGCCAAATATCAACAGTACAACGATTGAAATTTCTTTTGAGAGCCAAATTTTTTAAACTTAAACTATATAGGTAGGTACATTCAACTTTAAATTCACGGTTTTCGTCTTCTGTTTTTCTTTGCTTCTTCTTTGTAGCCATCTCAAACAGGGCACCTAAAAAAATGTTTCATTTTATAATAATAAAGCCACCAACACAAAAGAATTACAATTCTTAAATTGATGACAAAAATACCTGTAGGATTTGCAGCTGGTTGGAAAAATACAGGTAACTTTATGCTTCGAGTAGGTACTTTTGTCACCCGTGCAAGATTTGCGGACGTGACTAGCACTAACCACTGCACAATGAGACTGCTGACTGACTGGCTCACTCAACTCGTGCATGAATGGCGCGCGCCTCCCCCATGCTGCCTGCGCCACATCTCCCATCGCCCAACCGACCGACACCCCCCACTTCTTCTAACGCCACTTCTTCAAAATAGACTCGCCCAGGCCGAAAACCGACTTCAATTGCACTGTACATGCGCACCCGTACGTGGTATTTTGTGGAAGAGCCACACTCAAGGGGCCAAAGAGCTGCATGTGGCTCGCGAGCCGCGGTTTGCCGACCACTGCCCTAAGTGGACCTCAGAGAATGCTGATATATCTATGTCATTTGTATTATATTAGAAATGATATGTTTTGCATTTTAATTGTGTTGCTGCCAACATTATTTTTTTCCTTAAAAGAATACATCATCAGAACACTCTGTGCTAAAAGAATGTATTTAGTATTCAAATAAAAGATGATCTGTTTTAAACCTTTTTTTATTTTAGTGTCTTATCTATATACTTAATCGCCTTTGACATTTAACTATTGAATTATTAATGAAAGAAGTTGGGAAGGAGAGTTATTAAACCAGAACTTCTCCTTAGGAACAGACTCTCTCTCTCTCTCTCTCTCTCTCTCTCTCTCTCTCCCTCTCTCCCTCTCTCTCTCTCTCAACATTAATAATTCTGAAACAAAAATGATTTTGTCTCAATTCACCACTTCATTTTTAGACTTAGTTTTGACTTTTACTGTCCAAGGCACTTAACTTTCAGGCCCCAGATTGAACATCAGTTCCAGCCCAATTCTCCCGCTGGTGGTTGTACGCTCTCTGGAAGGTCATTTCTTCTCTTTGAAACTCAGTTTCTCATCCTTAAGGAGGAATTGGGACTAAATGACCGACAAGACCCATTAGAGCTCTAAACATCTGCAATGTTCTTGTTGGCTCTGTGCAGTTGTGTCAGATTCCAAACCCTTTTTTATTATTATTTTATGTTTTTAATTGAGGTAACATGTGTTAATGACATTATATAAGTTTCAGGTGTACAACATTATAATTCGATATTTGTGTACGCTGCAGTGTGCTCACCACCAAAAGTCTGGTTTCCATCCATCACCATACAATTTACTCCCTTTACCCATTTTACCTCCTCCCACCCCGTTCCCCTCTGGTAACCACCAATCCATTGTCTGTATCTATGCGTATGTTTTTGTTTTGTTTGTCATTTGTTTCTTTTTGGTTTTATATTGCACATATGAGTGAAATCATAGAGTTCTTTTCCTTTTCCATCTGCCTTACTTCACTTAGCATAATACACTGCAACCTTTTCTTTAAAGGAAGTGAATGGGTAGAGCTCCCACTGAGAACAGCAGAGTTGAACGACTGCATTCAGTTACCTTTGCCAACTGACTTTCAAGGAGGTTGTTAAACTTACAGTGATAAGTAATTCAATTAAGGGGAGAAAGAAACAACAACAACACCTTAACCAGTTAGGAATCCCAGACAAAATCCTTTGATATACTTTAAAAATATCCTACCTAAAAAAAAAAAAAAAGAAAGAAAAAGAAAAAATCCTACTAATCCTAATGGTATCAAAGAGGTTGTGGCCACAAGCAAGTCTGGGGTGCCCCCCTCACTTGCTGATGGTCAAGGGTAATTGAGAAGAACCTTCATATTCAAATTGCCAACAGTTTATCAGCTTATACTCAAACCATGATTATGACACTGAAGTAGAAACAAAATGTGAACTTGGTAATAGACACCAGGTCAGAGTGAGATCACGTGATAGTCTGGGGCCTGGAGGAAAGAAGTTCTTAAATTTTTGCCCAGCGAATGTCTTTGAGGTGTTCCCTGCTGAATAGAGCCTTTTCTGGTCATTAAGCTAAGAATGATAATGTTACTCAATGCCTTTCTCATAATGGCTACGATTTTGAACATTTGGATAGGAGACACTTTACCCATTAGACAGCTTTGGAGTGTCTGCCCCATTCACAGTGGTTCCTTCTCCGAGAACTGCTCAATCTCTCTCACCTCCTGTGTAGGCGTGATGGGCTCTGCTGGCCATGGTTGCACTGCAGACCCCCACCTTCCAGCCACGGTCCAGTGAGCCACCTGACTCAACTGCAACCCAGTTTTCATCCTAGGAATTTAGCTTTGAGACTCTGAGGCAGCTCTGTGTGTTGCTGGAACTGGAACATAATCTTTAATCCACCATATGCCACAAACAAATGATTTAGAAGAACTACTAAGAAAGAGCCCAGTTAGCCTCTGGAATTGAAATAGAGGAAGAGAGTTGGAGGGAAGGAAGAGAAGTTAGACACTGAAGTACCCTTGAGAGAAAACCCCTTTCTTTCCTCGCATTGGCCCAGTCAAATGCTGGAGAAGACAGGCTGAGAAATGCAAGAATCCCATTATGGCTTAGGGTTTCTGCAAACCTGGGAAACATTTACCTTCTTACAAACTCAGAGTGACTCAAAAGCATTGAGTAGTAATGTCTAGGTGCGGTGTCTAGGCAGGTGGGCTTGAAAGAGCCTGAGAGTTATCCACTTAAGAGCCAGATGTTTCCAATGCATAGTTACAAATTCAAAGGACCATGTTGTGTTAATGAAGGCAAGGTGGTCACCAGGGCATGGTGGAAATGAGGACATCTTGGCAGTCTCCTGTGTGGACAAGTCTATTAAGGACAGGAGGGCCCTCTCTCCCCGGTGCCTGAGGACTTAGATACAACCCTAGAGAAAATATGGGGGAATGTTTTGGGAAGGAGACTAGAACTGTTTGAGATTTAATTTGGTGCCCTTGGTGGAGTGGGGCTCAAAATCGAAATTAAATGCAGTTGCAGAAATAATAAGGGTTAAATTCTTGCACTCTTGAGTTGGTGAACTGATGGTCACCCCATCTCACATATAACATAAAGTTCCCTTTTCAGAGTGGATGGCTTAGACTCCATTTTAACAATCAGCAGACTGATAATTACAAAAAGAAAATAGGCCACACAACAGATGCTCTTACATTACACAAAAATAGAACATTATCTTGTTTTGTATTCAAAGGCCTGTTCTTCACAATAATTTCCCAGGCTCTGATAGACCTCAAAGTTTTAGAGTCCCAGAAAGTTGGCCTGGATAGGATTTATTCAGAATAGCATGATCAGCAGTGTTTTAACATTTCTTAAAAGCAAAAGTGTATTCTGAATGCCAATGTCTAAATTAGTTGCCTGGGTTAAATGTTTCAAGTCAAAATATCTTGACTTTATTTGATTGAGGTCTTTATCTCCTAAATGATAATGAAGCTAGATTATAGGTGGGTTAGCTTTGAAAAGATGTGTCATCATTCCATAATAATTTGAAGAACTTACTATTAAAAGTACAAATCAAAACTATGGTACCATAATTTGTAAGATGCTTGACTTCAGTTAAACAATTAACCAAAAAATACCTGTAAGAATTCAAATAAACTCAAAATGAACATTTTAAATGTGGAAAACATGTTGCTGATTTAGAAATATACTCTTGGTATTATATGTTCATATATCTGTATTTAAAATAAAATATCCATAAATGTAACAGATAATGATACATCTCCAGTCCGCTCAAGATGTACATACTAATTTGAGGTGAGAGAGCAACAAAAATACTTGGCAAATATAACTGAACCAGTATTGTTAGTTCATTACAAATGATTTGAACTATAAGTTTGGCTTTCATTAAAGCTATAACTTTATTATAAACAGAAAAATTAACATCGATGAGAGAGAAACATCGATCAGCTGCCTCCTGCACACTCCCTACTGGGGATGTGCCCACAACCAAGATACATGCCCTTGACTGGAATAGAACTTGGGACCCTTCAGTCCGCAGGCTGACGTTCTATCCACTGAGCCAAACCGGTTAGGGCTATAAATATTTTTAATATCTGTTATTTTGTGTTAAGAACATAATAAACACATTCTAGAGTAATTGCTGGATTTTTAACAACTGAACTTGTTTGCTTAAAAGAAAGTACTGGCTTCCTCAGACAAATGATACCGAACAGAACTCTGAGCAATGGATATTAATAGAATATCATCTTCCGCCAGTGCTTTCCAGCTCTCTTTCCTTTTGTAATTACTTCCAAATCTGTCTTTTACTGAAGTCAAGGGAAATTATAAGAAGAACGTTCAATAGACCTTAAAAACACTGATGCCAGTTCTCTCCACCTACTTGCAGAAAAGGAGGGATTAAAAGCAATTATTGTGCATTTATTTCATTCTAGACAGAAGAGCGTCATAGCTTTCTGCTAAGTAGTTAATTTCATAGCTTTCCAGTGTGCC